AATTTATTATATAATAATAAGTTATTATATTTATTTTAAATAAATAAATAAAAATATTAAATGAATATAATATTATTAATATGATTCACTCTAACACAAAATATGAATTCGAAAAAATATATTTTAATTATCTTAATATATTATTTTTAATTCAATTTTATATAATTTTATTTAATATAATTAAATTATTTTTTTAGATTTAATTTGATTTCTCCATACGTAATGTAATGTGTATATATATAAAGGGTTATCACATTTAACAACTAAGTTGGTCTGGTGTGGTGGTAGCTAAGGCTATCCTTCAATCCCTTCAACCCAGGATCGAATCTCAGAGCGTGCAACATAATTTTTTTTTTAATTGACACATGGGTCGCCATGTCAGCCCAAAAATGCCACGTCATTGACACGTGGAAACACCACGTCATCACAAAAATACCATATCAGCAGAACGGGCCTCCACGTCACCAGAACAGGCCCAAAATTGGGCCCTGTGATTCGAATTGCAAAAAATAACTAAAGTGGTGTATTAAATTGCTAAATTGCAAAGGTGGTGATTAAATTGCAAAAACATGAAAGGTGGTGCTTTTATATGCAATTTAGCCTAAAATATATTAACTATATTTAAAAATTAACTTAAATGGAAAAATTAATCAATATATGTTATATTTATGCAAAAGTTTAAAAAAAAATTATTTTAAAAAATGAATAAGAGAATTAAAGAATATATAGTTTAGATATTATTTTTGATTAATAATCTAAATCTAAATTTGTAGTAAAATACAAAACAAATAAATAAATAAAATTAAAAAGTGAATTAATGAAAAAAATAAAGTTAAAAATTGTATTTAAATATCATTTTCTATTCTTATTACATATCCTATTTCAATTATTTATTTAATCCTGATACCAATTGAAAATAATCATTATTAAATTATTTCATAAATGTAATTTATATAAATTATTATTTTATTAAAGTAATTTTATTATATATATATATATTTATTATAAGTATGCAAATATAACTAAAAATAACTAATATTTTTCATCTAATTATAAAATTAAGTTAGTTGGTTCACATATTTATCTCAGAAAATAAATTTATTGGGCCTTATATCGAGAAGTTAAGTAAAAAGTGAGCTTTAAATGGAAAATATAGTGGGAAAAAATAAAAGTCATGCATTAGATTGAAAAATTTCAAAATATTACCCTCCTAAATGGATTTTACCTTATGTATAAATTAATAAATATTTAGGTGTGGTTTGACGTTAAGTTTGAAAACTTGTGAAAGATAAAACATTTTAGCATGCATTTATGGCTTCTTTTTTTTTAAGAAGGATTAATAGTATTTTTACTTTCTCTCTTTGATGACTCGAACCTATGATCTAAAAGTTATAGGTGAAACGTCTTCCATGGTCTAACTTCACACATATTTAAATACTACCCAAATTAGTATGCATTAAATCACACCTATGATACAAGCCCGACGATCCGATCTGCTTGATCCACTCGACCCGATTGCGTACCCGACGTTCCGTTCGTGATCCAATCCAGTTCGTGTGTTCATCCCGGTCATAACGAGATCCTCATAAATCCCAACAATCTTTGCAGCGCACGAGCTACTCACTAGTTTAATTAAAAAGAGAAAATACACAAATTAAGTAAAATGCAATAATTTGCGTAATAAATTAACCCTAAAATTATTAAGGCCTAATAGCAGGAAATACACGACCTTTACTTGATTGGTCATTTAATCACACCTTTTAAACATTGGCAACTAAATATATGACCTTTACATTCTTGGCAACTCGATACACGAATTACGAATTTAACGTCCGTCAACGGAAAGCTGACGTGGTAATTTTTTTAACGGCCACGTCACCAAGAAGTCTGACTCAACAAACAGGTGCCAAATCATCATTCAAACCTTGACAGTTTAATACGCTACCTTTGGTTTTTGGCAACCCGATACGCGAAGTTAACTTTTATTGGCAAATAAGCTGCCACATCAGCATTGCTCAATTTATGTGGTAAAGTTGCAAAAATATTACAAGGAGGGGCTTCGAACATGGTACCACTAGTATATAAAAGTGAGATTATGAGCCACTTGATCTAATATAATTTTTGTTAAATATTTGACTTCAATTGTATATATATACCAACATCATTTTACCTAATGTACATGTATAAGTATATATATATATATATTATAAATTTTTTACTACTTTTTAATTATAATACCTATAAATTATTTATTTATTTAATATATATTAGTCACGAAATAAAATTAAGTAAACTAAATAAATAAATAATATTACATTCTTCTAATATTTAGTTAAATTTGCTAATTTTTATACCATAATTAATACACATTTAATAAATAAATTAAGTATAAATTTTATAATTAAAAGTTGTATAATAACTCATTTTATACCACTTTTAATAATAAAAATCATACATAATTTACGTATTAAATATGAATTAATTACGAAATAAAAATATCTAATTAAATAAATAAAAAATAATATATTTGTTAATATATTTATTTATTTAATTTCATTTAATATGTATATTAATATATTATTTAATATTTTTCTTTATGTAATATATATTTTAATACATTATTTAATATATTTATTTATCTAAATATTATATATATATATTTAATATATATAATTTTTTTTGTTTATTATATTTATTTATTTAATATACGAATAAAACTTAATTAAAGTTAAATAAAGTAAATCAGTATAAAAAAAATACAGATGATAATAAAAGTTAAATAAAATAAGGTAATTTAATTAGTACAATTAAATATCTGCTGGGTTAAGTTCGTGTAATTAAATTATTTACTAAATTATTGATTAGTATTATAATTAGAAGTAGTATAAATATTATCTAATATATATATATATATATAAATATATTCCCCTGCCCACGGTGGGCAGTGCCCACTAGTTTGTTTTATATGAAAAACGTATTCTGAGAATACGTTTTTCAATAAATTCAATTGAAAAACGTATTCTCAGAATACATTTTTCATATAAAACAAACTAGTGGGCACTGCCCACCGTGGACAGGTGAGCGAGCCTATATATATATATATATATATATGCAAATTGTGTTTGATCAAGTGGCTCATAAGCACACTTTATATACTAGGGGTACCATGTTCAAATCCCCTCCTTGTAATATTTGCAACTCCGCCACAAAAATTGAGAAATTCTGATGTGATAGCATTTTGCGAACAAGGTTAAGTTCGTGTATAGGGTTGTCGTAAAAAACCAAAGGTGGCGTACGAATCCCCTCCTTGTAATATTTACAACTCTGCCACGTAAACTGAGAAATTCTGATGTGACAGCTTTTTGCCAACAAAGATTAAGTTCGTGTATAGAGTTGTCACAAAACAAAAGGTGGCGCATTAAAATGTCAAGGTTTGAAAGATGATTTGGCTTCTGTTTGCTGAGTAAGACCTCTCGGTGATGTGGCTGTTAAAAAAATTTTCACGTCCATTGACGGACATTAAATTTGTGTATCGGGTTGCCAAAAACGTAACAGTCACGTATTTATTTGTCAATGTTTAAAAGTCGTGGTTAAATGACCAATCAAATAATTCGCGTATTTTCTTGGGCCAATTATTAATGTGGGGGCCAATTTTGTAATTGCACTCATACTTCGATAGTAACAGTAACCACGTAGTACGTAGTTTCCAATCCCACAATCACCGAACACTTGTCAAATAAACGACGGCTGACAACTCCAATCACTGCATATACATGTGTACGTGTGATGTGCTGTGTACTCTCTGGATTCCCGCCCAAAATTTCTTGTGATTCCAACCTTTTTTTCTTTTTTACAACTATCAAGGGAATATTCCGGTGAATCGCCGGCGATCCTTGCCCTTTTTCACAGACAGCCACCGCCCAATGAAAATTGTAGCCATATTAACTACGACATTTAAAAAGTCGTTTCCACTAAAATAAGTGGTGCTGCAATGCAATGCAATTGATTGTATGTATGTATGTATGTATCACAACTGTTTTCACGCAAATGAGGCCATTATAATGTCACCTGATTTTTTACGCAAACTTCAGATATTTACTTGACATTTTTTAAGAACGCACTTTACTTTATCACTCTAATCGGTAGTATCTATTAATTACACACGCACAACTTTTATTTTACTTTTTTTTTTTTAAACAAAAAATGTGAAATAGAATAAAAAAAATGTGTTTAGCTTTCTGTAGGCATATTCTTGATAAATAAAACAAAATAATTTATGTTTATAATTTTTGAATGCGCTAACCTTAAATAATTTTTCAGATTTTCACATTTTGCGTCATTAGGCTTGAATAATTTTTAATTTATTTTCAATTCATAAATTATTAAGCTTAAAATTTTCCATAAATATATTATATATTGAAATTATTTTTATGAGCGTTAATTGTGTTTTGATATAATTTTCTGTTGAGAGCCTAGTTTATAAGGAATAAAATTTTCTGCATGAGCCTTAATTTTTTTTTTCCAATTTTTTAATTATAGTATACTTATTAATTAAATTAAATTATAGATATATTTTAAAAGTTCACTATGATACTTAAAAAAATTGTAATATGAGATAATTAAGTAGGATGGTAAAATTTTAAATATGAATAATAATAATGAATTTTTTCAAAAATAAAAATTAAAACATAATTTTTTTCTTGTTACTTCTTAAATTTTTCACAAAAACATTTAACATTTAAAATATAATTTTTTAAAATTATTTTTAAACTTTATGTATACAATTTCAACAAACACCCGTGTAATACTCGTACCACTCCGTATAATACAAGATACTGTAATAGTTAAAAGATATATATACACAAATAATAAGAAGAATCTGAATTACCAACCTCCCAGCCTTCACCCATATGCCATAACAATTCATTCTACTGAATCAGAAAACAAACAAAAATAAAATAACCATATTCCCCAAAATTCCTAAATTAGCCCTAGAAATCTCAGCATGGGCTGTTTTCTGATGGGCTGAGAATGTCAGGCCCAACGCTACCCCTGCAGACGGGGCAATTGGAGTTCCTCGAGAGCCACGCGTCGGCGCATTCAAGATGAAACCCGTGATTGCACCCGGGGATAACCCTCGCCGCCTGCTCGGCCTCGATCTCGTCCAAACACACCGCGCAATCGGCGGCCAGCACCAGATCCTTCCCGGTGACCTTCGGCAGCTTCTGGAGATCGGACTCCGACAGACCCATCTCCGGGCGGCTCTTGATCGGAAAATCGTGCCTCTCGACGGAGGCGCCGCCGGCGGAGTAGCAGAGCAGGCAGACATAGACAAGGAAGACGGCGCTCATGCCGGCGCACGGTAGAAACAGAGCGAGAAATACTGAGACCAGCATTTCTCACTCTATTTGTTGTTTGTTGATGGGTGAAATATTGGGAGGAATTGTAATTCTAATCGACCATGGCTGCTGAGGACGATGATGGTAAAGAGGTAACTTGGAGGGGGTTTATATATATGGTGGGTGGCTGAGTGGAGATTTTTTTTTTTTTTTTTTTTTT